GCCATACAAAACCGCGCATCATACTTTCCATCTTACTCGTGTAACTGCAATGAAATCAACATTTCGATCATTACCCTTCTTTCACAACGCCGTTTTGACTATAGCTTGTTCCAAGATAATATATCATTACAATTCGACTCTTCAAGAAAGGCTGACAACACCTTCTTACATTTCAGCACTCATCCATCACCGTCATAAAGGTGACATCCCACCATGTCACAAGAAAACAACTTATTCGAAAGTATTTCATAGCTTTTGAACAATGTGGAATATCACCTTGCACGCCCGACCCACCGCCGAAAGCACCGATAACGAATTTTCCACTGCCTCGACTAACCCTTCTGTTATTTTTGTACAGGGTCCTATAACTACAGTGCACAATATTTCTGTTATATGCCCTCCTGTTTCTTTCACTGTTTTTTTTTGCTCTACTTGTGGAACCCACTGCACGTATGATGGAAAAGAGGCCGGATGCTCACAGCTGGTTTCTTAAGGAAAGACAAAGATCAAGGAGGAACAAACTTCGTAAACAAAGAGATTGAAGGACAATCTTCGTAATTGGATAAACGCAACAAAGAAAATAAACATTTGCAATGGAAGGTTTTTGGTTGGCTTCCACTTCTATTCACTCGCACAACGTGTGTTTCACTCGTCCATTTTCTTTATTTCTTCGACGGCTTTCAGGAGCCGAGTCACACTGGGCCAACACTCCACGAACTTTGCTGGCAAACAACCTCGACATCCCGACCATGACGGTAAATCCGAAGGCTGCGGTGAAAAAGAGTAAAAAAAACACTGCCCCAGTCTCAGGGTTTGCCATCACGTTCGATATATGTACCAGCTGTAGCCTGCGCTTTAGACACTTCTTTTTCCTTGACATCTCGTGGGGGCACGCGAGTCGCATTTGTTTGTCGCCGATTTGTGGGGACAGAGTAGTCGAAGCGGTTTCCAACAGTATGCGCGCGTTCGCCAACAAAAAGTTGGTCGAGTGTTGGCCGACGTGGAGAGCGCGACTCCGACAGCTGACCGCTCCAGTTCGCCCTAAAACACGCAGGGACACAGGTCGTCTCGCCGTCACAGTCTTTGTTCGGGAATCCTCGAAAAATAAATACAACAATCCTCCAAGTGCACCAGGGGAGACAGTAAGAACGCCAAAGAGAAAAACAAAACTGTAAAAACACAGCAGTGCTACGTACAGCTCTTTCTATGTACACGGGAAGAACGGAGCGACAGACCGCGTCACGCACACACGGGTTCCAACCGACTTTCACCGACCTAGTTTTTTTTTGTTCGGATAAAAAAACAAAACAAAACATAAACACACAAAGAAATCGCCGACTAAGAAACCTTTCAAAAATTATTTTCAGTAAAGTCCCAAGCAAGTTGTAAATATCCGCGGAGAAACTCACAAAATGTGAGGTACCTTCCAAAACTTTGCAAAGACGTCGACAAGGACGTCGACTTTTAGCAGCCAGATATGAGGTGCGTCGCCGGCTCGCCTATACTTATTTTAGCGATTTTGTCGCTCACTAACGGCTCATTTGGGCAGTTGCATGCGCTCAGTTAGGTTCACGAGAGCCATGCTGCTTTTGAACGACGTGTGAGCGAGACCAGAACACCGTGGCGTCGACTTGGAAGATCGCGTTGCCATGTATTTCTGTTTCGGAGCGACATCAGCTGCCTTTGCTTTCGTTCGTTACCCCGGAAGCGGGTTTTTGCGGCGACTGCTTTCCGACGGGGTTGGACTTAAGCTGTTCTCTAATTACTCGATAGAGGTACGGTGACAGCTTAGCTGCTGCTGGGACATAATGCCGCAGCGAAGCCTTTTGTTCTTCACAGCACGGGAGCACGGGGACTAAACGCGCCGACGGAAGGGACGTGCAACCGTGCCCTCGGCCAAGGTGCGCGCCAAGAAACATTGCGGTAGCGTTGTGGCAGTCCGCGAGTTAGCCGATCATGTCGGTGCACTCGCTGAGTGGCACGTTCGAACGCTCAGCTAACCACCAGTCCGCGGAACTGTAAAGGGAGTATTCACTGGCGGTCATAGCTGCGTGTGCGTATGCTGAGCGCGTGCTGATGGCGAGCTTCCACAGTTCTTTTGCAACGTGCATTCCGCACCATCAAAAGTGCCGGACTTAGCAGCCTATTGATGTTAGCTCGTTCTGAGCATGCGCTCTAAACAGCACCCACAAAGATGGCGTCGAGTGAATACTCCCTAGTTCCAGATGCGAGAATTCGCTCAACGCCCACTCCTCGGTGCTGGTCTCTAGATCCAACTCCATAGTCCCAGTCGTTGGCTTCGTGCAAAGAGCCACCTTGCCCCAACTGGGTGTTTTCAGATCGGACGGCCAATTTTAATTTTGACGTAAACACATTTGTTGACTCAACGCTTATCAATATAAATTCGACCATTGTTTAAAAAAAAACATGTTTTTGCGTTAAAAAGAAAAAAAAAACACATAGTTTTGCGAGGGAGAGATTGAAAGGAAATGTTCGGCTTTTATACTTGAAACTACACCGCAACATAGAAGTTTTCTTGGTTAGTGGCGTTGCGTGCGAGCATACTTGGGTCCCACTAGTGAAAATACGTTCGTTTAAAGTTAAAAAAAAAATACAAACAAATTAGATATTGTTGCACCGCCCCTTTAAGCTGACAGTGTGGTATGCGCTACGCTGTTCCAATCAACCACCCCGTTTTCATGACGTCGGGGCATCAGAGGGAGTGTGATCACGTGACGAAATGCAGAGGGATCAACGAGCACGCAATTTCCACCACACACTGAGCTCAGCAGTGAACGGGGAACGCAAGTTTCGTATGCTACTTTTCCAGCAGTTGGTTGAGGTGACGTCACAACGCCGCGTGCTCTGATTGGCTCCGACCCCAAAGCAAGTTGCCTTCGGGTCTACCCACTATCCTTCGATCAGAGCCAATCAGAGCCCGGCGTTTTTCTGACGTCACCGGAACCCTCTACAAAAGTAGCAGACGATACACTCGCTCCGCATAGCGCTCCCTGCGTTCCGTTGCTTGAATAAACCGTTTGAGTGTTTTGCGGCATACCGTAATGGCGGCTTCATCGCCGCGCGGAGGAGGAGTCAGTTCTGCCGCGCCATAGCATGTTACCGCCCTGCAAAAGACTGAGATAAACATGTCCGAAACAAAAAGTAGCCTTTTCTCTTTTCTTCTTTTTTTTACGTAGCGTGCACAGAGACGCTACACGCGGGCTATTAGAAAAAACAGGCCCTGCGAAGCCTGCGGCATGATAGCGACTCTCGACTTCTTCGGCCGATGTGCGCCTTTTCTGCGACAGTCTAGTGCAAGAACGCACTTAGAATAGCGAGTTTAAAACCACCGTCCGCAATTTGTTTATATCTGTCCAGGCCCGTGCATCTCTACGCCCAGTAAAAATAATGAGCCGCCTGTGTCAACATGGGTATTCACGGCACTAGGGTAGCCTCAATTTGGTCAGATTTCTCGCTTTATAACATCAAAAACGAAAACGTAATGCAATATATATTTTCCTTAAAGCTTTTGTTCGTACATATTATTAAGCTTAAATTGGAAGAGTTAAAAAAAATCATCAACGCTAGCCTTTTTTTAATTGATTTTGAAAATAATTCGTATTTAGTAAAAGTGCTCCATTTGAGCATTTGTCGTAAATGTGGCCCGCTAACCAGGACAATAATATTTAGCGCGAATATTGACAAAATACAGGGCAACACACGGGCAAAGTTCGAAAATCCTAAAATTTATAATGTAAAAAAAAAAAAAAAAAAGTTAAGCAATATCCCGCAATGTGCCACGTTCGCGATTTTTCTTTGCTAATTAACGACATTATCACTCGGTAGTAAATACTTGAATCAGTCCTTCCTACGCGTATTTTGTCGGTAAATATTTTTACACCCGTCGACGCAGCGGATGTTTACGGAGAGGTGCCCGAAATGGCAACATTGCGCAATCCGCAGAAAGCGCTTCGGACTAAAAACGTGCTTCTAATTTATTTATTATCTTTTCTTCGCAAAACAAAAGTTGGTTTTGTTTTTATGGGCATTGAGTCAACAAAATATGTTTCTTTTATTCCTCGTCCAAATTAAAAATGGTCACCGGACATGGTCGGCCGAACTTAGCTGAAAACGCTTGCCCTTCGAGAGGAATAGTAGATAGCTGCTTGTCGCGTGTTCGCGGGATCTGCCGCAAGGTGGCTGAGGTTGTTTACAGATCTACCTTGCAGCTGGCCAGCCACCACTGACAATATCGATTAGGAAGAGGAGCTGCCCGACTCCTGCAAATCCGACGTTCCCTGAAAAGCTCAATACCCTTGGTACCGCTTCTCTCAATTATATAAAGCTGCACGCTAGAAGATAAACCAAAAACAAAACAAAAATGTTTGTTGCCGCGATTCTGAATCAAGGGTTCCGCGCAAACTTGTCATAACGCATATCTTCTTATTACTAATTAGGCTGTTGCAGGTTAAGAATAGCGAGGTAATCTCGACCCAAAAAAGCGACTCGCTCTTTCCACTTTAGCAAAGCGAACGCTGAGGAGGAGAGGGAAAGGAGGAAACTACCAATCGCGTCACAGCACAGGCGTCACAGCACAGGGAGAACTGTGCTGTGACGCCAGAACGCTGAGCTCTGAATGGCTCTGATTGCAACCATAGTGGGTTCAGGCAGCTAGCATTGAGGTCTGCTCACTATCCTTCCAGTCAGAGCCAATCACAGCTCGCCGTTGTGACGTCACCGCTGCTACCCCTGCGCAGGAAGCAGACGAAACTTGCACTCCACACTCTAAACCTGCAACAGAAACGCGCAATCCTGTGGTGCATGAACTATCGCCACCGCAACACGTTCCAACGCACCGAAACGAAAATGTTCCCAATAAAAACAACCAAAAAAACGTTGGGTCGGTGAAAGTCGGATGATTGACCCATACCTTCGAACGGAACCTGAGGGCACAGGAAAACAGTTCATTGAAATATTTTACCTACAAACGAACAAATAAGAACACGTCACACGCTAGTTTAATGACAACGAGGAAGCGCTGCCACGAATCCGTTGGGCAGTTTGTTAAATACATTTGTACACGTCAGAGTGGTACGAGTGTGCGCTCGTCTACGCCACAAGCACAGAGGGGAGTGGAAAAATAGATCGAGGAGGAGGAAAGGCGTCCCGTTAAATGCGACAGTTCACCCGCCCGACGTCAGGAGGAACAAATGCGGGACGTCTGGGTGAGAGAGCCAGTACGATTTAAAAGCCAAGGCCTCGACTTCTACGTTGTACTGACAGATCGAGCCGCCGACGGACTTGGAACGACCGCACAGACACTCGGTGCTCGGGAATCCTGTCAAGCGCAAACAGAGGCGAGCACGAAGGATGGGACGCGGAGTCAAGAGCTTGTCCCCGCGTCCCATCCTTCGTGAAGGTCTTTCTTTGCGTTTGCGAGTCTCTGAGCATCGTGCAACAACTAGCTGAACAAGGGGCCCTCGGGTATCTCGTACGTGGGACGCTCCTTTTGCCCACCGCTACGGCGACTTCAGGGAACACCCTTAGCACTTCGTACCAGCGCAGGAGTTTCGTGGGAAGGATGTCCATCGGAGACTTTTTCGAGATTTTGCGGGCCGTGCGCTTTGGCATTTTCACGTTTTGGTGGTCAGATTTCAACCTGGCTGCGGTCACGGGTGCTGCCCGTGGTCTGGAAGTTTTGCTAAGGAGCTGCACGCGAACGACTACACGTCTTGCGACTGAAAATCATCAGTAAGCCGTCAGCTGAAATGGCCGCTTTTTCGTTCCCCGGGAATGCTCTATTTAGCTGTCCACCGACAGATCAACACCATATCGCCCCAGCTTCCCGACACTGTTTCTAAAAGCTCAGGAAGTGGCATTTTGGAATGGTAACCATCGCCAATTGGACTAGGCAACAAAATGGCGGCTCGCACGAAAGAATTGGCGAATGGGCGTGTGTACGATACTATGGTGCCTGGAGCGCCATCCATAATGATACTGAAAGCGTAGCCGGCGTAGCTCACTGCGTGGCTCTAAACCAGCCGATCCAAGCAGGTGTTAGTGCTTCAGGGAGCTGGCGGAAGGCCGTTCGAAAGCTGTCGGGGCCCGACTGGGGCTAGAGGCGAGGCGCCGCGCAGACGACAAGCTGCCGACGCTCAGCCGAGTGCTGCGCGCGGAGGAAGCGTTCGGGGAGGGGGGAACGCTTCAACGTGACGATCGTGAACGACGTCGGCGGGACACCCGACGGATTTGGGCCAGAGAGCCGATGCGGCCGAGCCGGAGGGTGCGCCGGGGAGCAATGGCCGCCTCTGATGTAGCGAATTGCGCGGGCGGAGAGTGGGCACTGACTCTGTGAAGCGTCTTTTGTTTTCTGCCTCGCGGTTCGATTTTAAGGATTTCCCGGGGAATGTGATGCGCTCTAAAAAATGTCCGCGTGGCGCAGCGACGGGAAGGCGCCGCGAACAGGATTGTGCCGTCAGCGACGGGCGCGGTGAACGAGAGAGCGAGCAATGATGGCCGGACTGGAGAGGTGCTGACACAGGTGGGGACAGCCCCTGCTGCCAGGAGCCGAAAAGCGAGATAGAAGGGCCGAGATAGCAGAAAGACGGCAAGCGCAGAAAGATGGCGACGGGACGTGGGCCGCGCGGCCGTAGGCGGCGGGCGCGCCGAGCAGGGTCCTCCCTGCCGCCTCACCGTCCGTGGTCGAGCAGACGCGCTGAGCCGGCGTCGCAGCGGCAGCCCCTGCGCGAGCAGGCGGCGTATCCGAGTTCGCAGACGCGCACGCAGCCGCGCAGCGGCCAGTACAGACACAGGCAGGGCAGCACGACGCTGAGTAGGCCGAGGCAGGACCACCGCACGCAGCGGCGGTGCGGCGCGCACGAGCACGGCTTGTCGGCGCAGGACACGTCCGTGTCCAGGTCGTAGTCCTTGGCCCAGTGGTAGAAGAGGCCCTTGACGCAGCACACGCACGAGCAGTAGTCGACCAGGGCCCCCGCCGAGCAGTGCACCTTGTCCGAGCAGACCCAGCGCGACGGCAGCGGCCGGGGCCCCTGGCAGGCGTCGCAGCGGCAGCGGCCGCAGCGGCGGCAGATGATGGAGTCCTCGTGCGCCGCCGCCTTGCGCTCTTTGGGCTGCGACGTGACGGCATCGGCACCCGGCCGCAGTGGCGTCTCCACGTACTCGTTGAGGCGACGGGCGACCCCCGGCCGCGGCTGGCCCAGCGTTATGACCTCGCGCGAACTGCCGCCATTTTCGGCCATGTCACTGAAGCGGCCGCTCGACGGGTCGACGCGGGTCCGCGCTACGCCCGAACACCATGGGACGGCGGCGCGCCGGCGCTCGGCGACCGCTGACGTCGACGTCCGCCCTCACGGCCGGCCGCTGGCTCGCCGCGCCGTCCGCTCGGGCGAGCGGCTCCTCTGCCGGGGCCCGCTTTGGGCCGCCGGCCACATCGCACACGCACACACACGGGACACCGGGCTTGCGGGAACAGGGCCGCAGGGGCCGGGACTCCTCGGCTAGGCCTAACGGCGGTCCCTCCGCCAGCGAGCGTCCAAGAATGGCTTCTCGGCGGGGCCTGCCGCGGCGCTGCGGTAGCCGCGGGACGCGAGGGCCCGCCAATCGCAGCGCGCCTCGCGCCGTGACGTCGCGCGTGACGCACTGTTTTTTCAATGGGGGTCCCTTCGCCCCGGCGCTGGCCGTCGGCAAGAAGGCGTTTTTCTTCAATGAAAAGCGGGCACGCACGCGCCGTGCGCGCCGCCCGAGCAGTCGTTCCCCCGCAGTTTCCGCCGATGCTCGACGGTCGCCAGGCGAGGTGCCCGCTTCCGGTGCGCCGTACATGGCCCGAGAGGCACGTAGCGCACGTAGGCGCGCAACTGGAGCGCTGCTTGGGCGGCGCGCCGCTACCTCGGGGGAGGGCGGAAGTGCCAAGGACGTCCGTTGGCCGCCTCCATCGCCCTGCCGCTTGGGCCGACAGCGGACCAGCGGCCGACAGCGACCACCCCGAGTGCAGCCGACCCGGATCTGGGGGCGCACCAAGTCGTCATTGGGGGAGACGACGAACCTTCCCTGCCTCGGAGGGCCGCGGGTCTCGAAATTACTAAATAAACAACGTAAACAGTGCGCGATCACCGATTCTCGGTGTCTCCCAGCTTGTTTAAAAGCACCCCGGAACAAGCGCCACTCAAACATTATCTTAGCGCGTCATGTGCAACGTTATCCAGCCCGCCCGTTTAATGAGTTCGTCTTTTATAACAGTTGTCGGATTTCATCTTTACATCCCGTCTGTTCGGAGGCCCACCGGAGCGCAAAACAGCGAGCTCCTAGCAAGGGCGTTTTCCGTTCAACCGATGCCAAGTCGAGGGGGGTGCCTTGGGGACGCGTCGCTGACCGAGGCTGCCACGAGCGCGTTTCGGAGTAGAAAATACTCGCGACGTTTTCCCGGGCGCACTTCGTGGGCGGAAGAAAGCCCGCCGGCAGAGAGGGGAACCTGTTCATTGACGCGGAGGTAATTCAGGGCTCGGGAGAGCGAGGCCAGCGACGCACCGAAGGAGCCCGAAGAAAGGGCGGGCTATCTTCGCCGGAAGCGGGCGAGCAGGGGACCACAAACAAATGGAGCGACTCGCCAGAGCAGGGCCGCCTGGACCGCGCCCGAGCGCGCGCAAGCTTCCGCAGCCAATCGGAAGCAGCTCACGCGTGCCCTCACGCTCCCTAGCAGCGCTCGATCGCATTATCACGTGGTGTTTCTCCGCCGTGCGATTGGCTGGATAGGTCCGTCGGGGTTCGTCCCGGTCCGTTTGGGAAGCAACGTCGGGCGGGGCGGACGTTCCCTTCTGCCAAAATGCGGAGAAAGAGGGAGGCCCTCGAAGGCAAAAACGAAGCAGCAAAAGGCGAAACACGACGGGGAGGGAGGGCGAGGCGCCGCTTCCGCCGCGGTTTTTTCAATGGCGCTGTTTTAAAAACGCGACGCATGGGGGCGCCGAGAAAGAAAGGAAACGGAAGTTGGGCGCCATCTGTTTTTTTCCTTTTTTGTTTTTCTTTTTACCCACACTCACGTCCTTCTGCTACTTGCGCCGTCGTCTGCTTCTGCTTGTTTCGGGGATGGGGGCTTCTTGAACACTTCGTTCGCCCCTTAGCTGACAGCGCGGTGGAGGCTACGTGACCGCTGTACCAATCACACGTCGACCTCTCGGCACGTGATCGCGCTCCTGCCCACAGCCACGCGCGGAGAGCGGGATCAGGCAGTGAAAGGAAGACGGCTGATTGGTTTGTCGAGTGCGTTGCTCCCACCGTACTGTCAGCTTCTGGACGAACGCGAGGTTCTTTTTTGCTCCCACCGAGGGCTGCCTCCATTTCGACGGGAGGCGAAGGGGAGGGCGCCCCGCAGGCACAGCTGTTCTTCGGCCCGTGGAAGAAGACGCCCGACGTTGCTTGCCGGCACCGCTGGCCACTCGAGGGGAACCCCTTCGTCGCAGCGCGCTGGTCGCTGGACTTCCGGCCGACTGGGACCGGACCGCGAATGGCCAATGCCGCAGCCGGCACTCCAGAGGGAACTCGATTTGGCGGAAAGAGCTTCAATCCAGAACCACTGAGTGGAGAGGGGCGCTCCATCAGCAGACGCTGGTGCGGTGCGGGTCGTACGTGTGCATGCGTACATATTTACTTGCGAGGAAATCAATGGTCAAGTATATTGGTGGCTTCAGGAAGTAGCATTCTGCTTGTATGTAAAGCCAGGCAACTAATTAAAATACGTATGCGCCTGAAAATAAATAAATAAAAGAAACCGTATTTTAGCCATACTAAGAAGATGTCACAAAGTAAGTGTAGAAACACCTCATCAGTAAAAACAAAAATAATAATTCAGAAAGTGTATTTAGTTAATATGGGAGAAATTAGCTTCATAGAGCGAGGTATGACTAATAATAATAATAATAATAATAATAATAATAGTAATGTATATCCTGAACTTTATATATGTTTTCAAATCTTCAGTCAGTAATTGAATACATTTTTATTGGCATCAATAAATTTGTCTTTGTGAAGTTCACATAACCGCTCGAAACCGACACGGGAGGACGATACTCGAAAACGCCAGCTGCTGAGTCTGCGAAAACGTGCTTTTCTGGTCGCTGATCGGCAGTGTTAAACACCGGGTCGCGGGTATGCCAAGAAGGACTGTAAGCGCATGTAATAGATCTAAAGGCAAATACACTAAATATGCAAAAAGAGGGATAATAAATGTTACGCTTCTAACAAATCCCGTACAGAACGCCTTGTGGCATAAAGAAATAAAACTCCTTACTGCGTTCGAGGCCATGACGATGTCGAACGCAGACTGAACCGCCGCCACAAAATTATCTGGAAGTTTGCGACATAGTACACTCGTAACAAAGGACATGAAATTTCACTGTGGGATTGTTATCATGGAAAAACTGAGTATCTTTCGTCCGCACCATAGGTGGCAGATTGTTTTGCAGATTATTTTAGTCGATTCTATACACGATTGGTCAGCCAATTATTCGACCTAGTTACCTAGAAGTAAACTGCCAGGATGTTTAATCGGGTTTCAGAGCAGATATGGATGAAATTGAGGAAGGTACCAGAAACCCTAAACCGAAGTCGTCTAATGGGGTAGATTGTTTTCCGAGCTTGATAACCAAAGGTTGTGGTGACTTCTTCGCACCGATTTTGAGACAGTTATTATCGGCCTGTTTCTTTACCCTGCAGCTTTTCTAAGGTGTTTGAGAAGATTATTCTAAACGTATAAGTTATTCCTTTTTTTTTAATTAACGGCTTCGCAGCATGGTTTTATTGCGAGACGGTCAGTTGAAACCAACTTGTGCAACGTTTTACACTTCGCTGCGCCAATTGTTACGAACAGGGGGCAGGTAGATGCTATATATTTTGATTTGTCTAAAGCAATCGGCAAAGGTGATCATGAGTTATTGCTCCACAAATTATTGTTATACGGTTGCTGCTCTGAAAAACTACTCTGGTTTCAAAGTTTTTTTTTTGTCTTGTCGTACGAATCATGTTAGAATTTTTAGTGTTCATTCTAAACGATTTTCCTCAACTTCAGCTGTCCCCCAGGGGTGAAGTCTTGGGCCTCTTTAGTTTCTTATATTTGTAACCGACATAGAATCGTGTGGAAGAAAAAAAAAAAAAGAAAAGCTGAGTTCTTCCTGTTTGCGGATAATATTAAGCTTTTTATGCGCGTTGCTACTCCTCTTGATTGCAATGCTCTTCAGCACGACGTGAATAACACACTGCCATTATGTTTGGAGAATAATTTGCTACTAAATCCTATCAAACTAAGGTTGCCTCTTTGAGCAGATGACAGGCTGTTATGCATTTTAATTACTTTTTATGGGAACTCCAGTCGAACGCGGGAGTGTAATGAAAGATTTCGATGTGTGCCTTGATAGCGCGTTGTCATTCAATGCTCATGTTTCTTTTGTTGTTTGCCGTGCTATGAAAACTCTTGTTATTATACCTCGTATAAAGGCCCGTTCACACTCTTGCGACTGCTTGCGACCTCTTAAACCTGGGTTCCTTAAAACTTGTTAAACCAAAAAATACACTGGTGCCATCTATTGGGAAGCAGTGTAAACTCGGCGGTCCGGCATATTTTTTTTCTATTTCTCAAGCATTATCCTTTCTTTCTTGGCTCGAAATACTTTTGACAATGTTATAAACGAGCCTTTCTATGGGTATTACGCACATTTGACCTCGAAAATCCCGCAAAACCTTCGCTCTTGTGAAATGCAGTTCCAGGGTCACCGCATAGATGGCGCCACAGTGTCAGTGTGTTCCCTCATTCTAAAAACATTTAAGAAGTTGTAAGAGATCTCGTCTCTCTCAGTCGTACTCGGTCGCAAGAGTGTGAACGGGCCTTAACTCAAAAGTTCATACGCCCTGCTTGTATGATTCGTTTTTTTTTTGTGTGTGTGTGTGTTTTAGTTTGTTCACGGCTTGAATTTACCTCGGTTGTTTGGAATTCCCTAACACGTACACAGTCTCTAAGCATTGAATAGGTGGAAAAAAGAATGATACGAATTTTGTATGACATACTTTCAACGTCGCTTTTATTATGATATTGAATTTCTTTTAATAGTGTTTTACTTAGGTCTTTGTCAAATAGAAAATTCAAGCGTAATTTGATTTTTTTTTTCTTCTTTTTTTTGCACGAGGTGGTAAATAGTTGGACTGATTCTAACCCACTTCTGAGTTAAGTCGATTTTCATGTTCCTTGCTGCGTTACCAAAAATGTTCCTGTCGTTTACGTTCAATCTATGTCTAAACTCCCACCACCATCCCGAATGCAAATTTCATTTATTAGAATCGCATCCTCTAGCTTGGACATTTTCACGAATCCCTCAGTTTTTTTACCGGGACTTAGTTTAGATGACAGTTGAAACTGTAGTAAATTTTGTGTGAAGCGGTGCGGCGTGCCCACTATTTGTAGCCCTGTTCATTTGTACATTTGATGCTGCGCGTGTGTTGTGTTTCTTATTATTATCTTCGTGTATGCGCCAATATGAAGACCCGCGTGGTTGTTTTCGAGCATATAAAAGAAA